TATGTAAAAGTTTATGACGACGATAACGCAAGTGATGGCAATAGCTCACTTGGCCATTTGAGCATTTTTCCCTTCTGAAACAATTTTTTTTTCTCAAGAAATTTTGAATCAAACTATTTATTTAAAAAAAACATGCCCCCTCCGATCTCCCCCATCAAAGATGAGTGGTCGATGCCTACGGAGTCTGCTCTGTCAACGTGAGTTCTGTTGAATTTATTACAAAGTGTTCAGATTTGATAATACTTCACAAAAGGTATGAACACTGGTGTTGATTTCATCATAACTTTTTTCAAAGTCGAGTATCCCCAATCTGAACTGAAATCTTTAAAGCTGTATAACTATAAATGTTGTTATAGAACCATGATTCAATATTATCAAAAGTCAACTTGGTCAATGGTTAATCTGCATCTTCTGTGAAATACCAAGGATGCAGGCAATGCCTAAATTAACTTTTATCTTGGAAAAGAAAATACAGGAAGGTAGAAAAATGATTGATTGATTGTTGGCTGCTTAACGTCCAGTGTAAATATTTCATGCATATTCAGGACGAGAACAAATTAACAATAAATACATTAGGTAAGTCTCGTAATTGAGGCCGTCCGTGATAAGGTCGGTGAAATTTCGACTGCCACTTGAAAATGAGGGTATATTGGATAGGAACAGAAACAGGCCACCTATACGGACCCCTCAAATAGTTGTTGCAAGGGTTCTTAACGTACAAAGAGCTTGGCCCTCTCTCTCTCTACACGAGGCATCGGATTTTAAGTCCCCATTCTGACAGCACGTGGCTGCGTACTTGATACATCCCGCACAGCCAAACGGACGCCCCACTTTGGAGAGGGTGTTACTGCCGGTCGGAAGAAGATCAAAGTGACCATTTTTTTATTTCCCAGTCACCCTTGGCAGACAAAAAGGTCAAAGTAAAAGTGGCCGACTGTTGATAGATAACCCAGCAACAGCAACAGCACAAACACCTAATTGACACCTTGAATTTAATATGCGGTCTTCAACATATTTTGTACAATATCAAGCTTAACATGCGCGTAAGTATATTGTCAATCCAGAGTGTATGTATTTATAGTATAACACTAGTTCTGATGATCATGTTTCATGCTATTTATGAAATATCTTTAATACGTCAAAATATAGAACTTTCAAATGATGCGCCAAGTTATGCAACAACTCGCAACAACAATGATATCTACCAGAAACAAGCTTGATTGAAATTTAATGGTCTGGTGGTATAGATCAATGTACAAGATTGACGTGCATATAAAAACGGGAACATAATGGGATTAATCTTGTTTTTAAAGTTGCTGCAAAATTGTTCTGCTGCTTTGCATTTCTTTTGGAAAAAACTCTAACGAGAATATTTTAATACTGAAAATAGCAAGGAATGTCAGAATATTATGGTTTCCGGGTCGTTTATAGAAAAAGAATAAAAGGTCATATAAAATAAAACATTGAGACTGCAGAAACGTCGAATAATTTTTATAATATTCAAAATAATATTCAAAAAATATGCCAGTTTAATATTTAGTTTGTTCATTTCATATCAAAACATTTTTTTTTCTGGAAATCACGCAACTTTAGTATAAAAAAAATTGGAACCGAAATGGTAAACAGCTGGACAATCGTTCCAATGAATCAATACAAAAAAGTTTCATATATTTTTCAACTTCCTTAAAAGGTTTTTCGATGTGCTTGTAATGATTTTATGTCACTAGCAAACTATTATTTCTTTTCCAAAATCAAAATGTAACGTACGGTTGTCTCATTTACAATATAAAAAACTTGTCTCTGAAAAAAAAGTTACCGATATAAAGTATGTACATTGTTTTTGTCTGTAAAAAAAAAATTATCCATATACTTTATATAGATAACTTTTTTCTAGGACAAGTGCCTGTGCTGATTTACCAATTGTTTGGTGCTAGTACTATTTTTCAAATCATCTTCCTACATCTACTAATTTTTCATTTTAGCTTACAACTCGCGCGTATCTAATATAATTCATTCATTTACTTGTTATGACTTCGTCCTGGCAATGAAATCTACATATGATGAATCATTTTCACGAAAGAAGAAAAATTGTCAATAAATATGGATAATGATTTCTAAATGGAGCATTTCGTTATCACCTCGTCGTAATCTGTAATTTAAAGTCAACAAGATGAAAATTCAATTTACATTCTTCAATTTGAAATCTTCACATTTAGTTTGCTTCATCTGTCAGCTTGATTAACTGTTTAGCTTACTCCGGGATTAGCTTGATTGATAGGAACCGAGCCTCTCATAATTGAGCCATGCCATCACTGTTCATTGAAAAGTTTACAAACTGTTGGATAATGATTTATCCAGATACAGATATACATATAATGATAGAGTTTCGGTCTACTTTGATGGTATTAAGCAATTTAACTCGTGTTTATTTGCACCAGACTCGTGTTTTATTACAGATTAAAGATCGCTAAAACACAACCACGGCAAAAAGAAGAAACAGAAAGCAAACAATCCATACAAAAACTAAAATTTACAAAATCTAGCGCTTAACTAGGTAATTTCCAGTTGAACTCTCAAGTTAAGGTCACACATAACTGAGTGAAAAATTATGACAAACAATTAAAAAAAAAGTAAGTGCCGAGACACGATATATGGACAGATACGAGACATAAAATGTTCAGAGGTCACGAGAATTTATTGCCTAATGACAATACATGTAACTATACTCAGCCCAGTTACATTATGAACAAGTGTCTGTCAGTAGCTGCTTACTGTATATCACAAAAGTAGAGTCAAACTATTAAGTATTGTATCAGCTTTGAAATATGAGCTTATAACATACAAGAAAACCTTTGTTTTCCTGTTGGTATAGCCTTAATTTCAACCTAAATATAAAATAGGAACAAGGCAAGAGTGACAAAACCTAACATTGTATGAAGAAATACATGTAATGTATGGATATTGGAAAGGATTGAGTTCATCTTTCGTTTTTAGTGTTTCAGTCTTCCTCCTCAACATAGTTAAATAAGCCGACATGAAAACTATATCACATTACAGCAATTCTAGAGATTCCAACTATGAGCTAAAAAATATTTATCTTCGTCATTTGAACTCTGGTGGATAATTGTCTCATTGGCAATCATACCACATCTCCTTATTTTAAAATTGTGGTCTTTAAAAAATCTTGTTCCATATTGGCATAATATCTCCAAGTTGAACCACCCAAAGGGTTACTGGGGAATAGAAATATGGTAATTTTTGGTCTTCTTTCGACCGGCAGTAAAACCCTTCCCGAGTGGGGCGTCTGTTTGGCTGTGCGGTATATATAAGTATGCAGGCACGTCCGATGAGAATGGGGACGTTAAATCCGATGCCTCGTGTAGTGAGAGTGCCATGCCTTTGCACGTTTTCTATTACAGAATTTACTATGTCTGAGCTATTTCACTGCATTTTTTTTTAGTTTTCGTTATTTTTTTTCGTTTAAAAATCTTCTTTAAAGTTCTACATACACCGCGGTGAGATCATTTTGTCATAAAAACATTCGAAAATTGTCTGCAGTGTATATAAAACAAAGATTTTAGTACTGTTTACTGTCTTTAGTGGTACAACATGCATGACGAAATCTATTATATTGGCACTTAAGTTAGAAAACGATGCTGAATTAATATTGGTCTTGGCTACAATGGTATCTCGTTAGTAAGGTATTGTCAACTCTGAGTTAAAGAAACCAATTGGAACTACCAATTACTTACAAATTAATGTTGAGGCGTTTCATTTCATTTCCTTTTCTTTTTTTTAATCTATAAAAACCGCAATTATACAATCGACTTTTTGTAATTATTAAGATAAGTATTCCAAATTAAAGCAGTCCTGATTTCTTATACTTTCAATTTCATTTATGATGCGACCAGATAACAAAAACTTGTGTCGTTCTTTTTTTTTAATAATATATTTACTGTCAAAGACTTTGACTTATAAACAACATCAACAAGTCGTGTCCAGTGTAGATTATGCTGATATTACTTGCTTTGACATGAAACTCAGGTCAAAGATTTGGTTTAGCATAAAAACACAACACACAAGTTCATTTATAGCTTGAAGTTGGCTGGTGACTGACTCTAATGTTTTCATCGTTTATAGAGAGCCTAATATCGTCTACCCTTGATATTTAGAACTCTTTCACCTTTTATTTTCAGAAAGAAGGTTTTTTTAAAGTTGCCTATCAAAATCACAATAGTATCTTAAATCTGTGTTCTTCGTCCGATCGTTACGAACATAGGACCCTTCATATACTACATCATAAAAAAAAACAAAAATAAAACAAAAAACAAAAATATGATAGACAAGCAACGAACGACAACCATCCGACTTGAGACAGGCATTTATTTAGAATGATGTGGTGTGGTGGCACAAGTGTCACCATAAGAAAAAACTGTAAAAATCAGTTGAGAAGGGTTAGACTTATCAGAGCGTAAAACGGAAAAGTATATAACATATATACAACTTATAACATATGAGGTATTTCTTTGTGATTACGAGAACTTGATATACGATATTGCTATTTTTGCGTAATAATTTCAAAGAAAATTGTGTCCATCATATATACATGTAAACAAGTACATGATGATTTCCTCGCACTTTTTAATCTAACGAAAAGGAAAATGTTTATAAAATCATACACGTATTCGGAAAGAATTAATGGAAACACATTAATTTGGAAATGTATACGTAAATATGCATGTGTTTACATATTATTTCGATGCAAGATTTTGATTGATGGTTTCCTTATGTGCTGATTATGTAATGAACAACACACATTTCTATAGATTACTCAACAAATAACTTTGCCAAAATACACAAATTTCACACTTTTAATAGCATGCAGCGTAATGTAGTATAGCATGCATATAGTAATAAATAAAACAGTACTTATTTTTTGGCAAAATGATTCAGAAACCATCATGCAAGAAAACAGTCATGCGTATCAATAAAAGTCATACTTGACTGTACAAAGTCGTCTGCTCCGATGAGTCGTTCGATGAGTTGTCCTGTGATGACGTTTGTGAATAGTTAGCCGAATCTCTTCGGATATTTTCTTGCTTTCTTGGTACAAATTTTATCGGACGTGGGTAAACTTGACCTCTGTTTTCATTCGGCACTATATCTGGTTTCTCACTCCTTGTGAAAAAATCGTTATTTTGTTTTTGTATTTGCTTGTCCTCATTTGAAATAAGTTCACCCTTTTTGGCTTTTTGTAAATTTTTGTTGTTGGCCAGTTCTTCTGCTATATTGTTTTTAGTAGTTTCTGGGTCTGAATTTCGGTTACATTTATTTACAAGATTCTTATTCAATATTTTTTCGGGCGTCTGTTCGCGCGAATTTTTAGGACCACTATGTCGAAGTATCACTTTTTCAGGTGTTGACCCTTGTGGAGTTCTAGGACGTCTCTCGGGCCTATTGCGGTTAGGCGATAAATAGTCAACTTCAATTTCACATTTTTCGCCGTCATCTGCGGAAGTTTCTCTATGATTTTGTGTGATTTCTTTTATATTTGCTATATAATCTGCGAGTTCATGATTAAACTGCTTATCAGTTGCACCATTTTGACGCGGTACTGAATTACAGTTATGTCTATTATTCCGCAAACGTTTAGCATCTGGATCCGAGCTCCTACGTACATACTTATTTCTGCTGCCAGAATGTATATCTGCAGTTACATTCATTCGTAAGTCTTCCGACATGGGAGATTTACTGCGCTGTGTTTCGTTCAGCGCGTCAGTGCTTAACGAACCCCTTACATTTTCGTGAAATGTAACACGTTGGCCGCCACTACGTCTATTACGACTCCGTCGTAAAATTACGTCATTTTGGTCCATGTGTTCGTCATATTCTCTCAAAGGTGGAAGACTTATTCCAAACTTCTCGTCTTCGGTTGACGGAGCAGTTTCTCCTTCATCAAAACCACTTTCACTTGGAGTTATATCCATACTTTGGATCGAACCGGGACGTTTTGGCTTTACCATTGGTAGTGTAAGATCCTTTATGTCAATGGAGGCTATTGAAATGGACGGCGTTCGTGTTAGATTGTTACTTTTTATCACAAAAATAGGCTGTCCAACATTGGCGTAATCTAAAATTCTAAAAAGCCAGGTTTCTTTGATCGTGAAGATAGTCCATAAAAATATCCAGAACACTAAATAGCAAACTTCTATAATAACAACTGTTAACACTAAGGTGTCTTTCGATGCTCGATAAACCGATATCAAGTCATATAAAATTGGGCCTTTGAAAATGGCCGACAACACAAGAGTGATCATGGCAAATGTGTGAGCAATATGACCATTACACGGGCCCCTGTCTTTTAAAATTTTTCGAGTATAAATTTGTGGATTATGCCTTCTGTCAACTAATTTGTATTTGTCGTAATATTTGTTAAATCCGTACTCAAAAACGGCAAATGATGACAAAATTAAAACAATTCCGGAAACTATGAAGAGAAAAATGACACTTCCGCAACCCAGATTAAGATTTATATTTCCATATAAATTCGTATTTAGAGCTATTTTGTACAGAATAGAAAATCCACTATACGAAAATATTGAATTCACACTCATGAATAATAGCTGAAAAACGAACACAATCGAAAGATATTTATTGGTATACCAAAATACGGAGGCATACCTGATGGCATACGTCGATAATGATGCTAGGAAGTATACGAACGCTGCAGACGGTCGGTATCCGCCATTGTTTGAGGTAGTATACAATGGATGAATTGTTAAGTTTATGCTTGCAGGGGTGGCGTTAAGTCGAACTACATGATCAGTGAGTAATGGTCTGTCCTTTGAATACAAAAAGTCGACATCACTTGACCACACAGCATCTGAAATAAAACGATATAGTAAGATTACTGAATTAATTTTGTTTCATTTTATTGATTGATTGATTGTTTGCTGATAATACAGGGGCAAATGTTTCATGAATTTCGTAACGATCTATTAAATGAAAGCACATAAAAACATTAATTAACAATGAAAATGTCTATTCGTGTGCTTAAATTTAGTTAAAGAACAGAAACGAAAAATTCGGCAATTTTTCCATTTGTAAACTGGCATAACTCTAGAACAGTGAGAGTGACACCACCAATATTCAAACTTGATCTGTATTTTGTGGTAATAAGCATTGTGTATAAGTTTCATAACATTTGGTTAAGGCATCCTAAAGTTAGAGAACTGAAATGAAAAATTCAACAACTTTTATGTTTATAAAGGGGCACAACCCAAGAATGATAAAAGTGACGCCACCCAATTACAAACTTGATCTGTATCATGTGGTAATAAGCATTGTGTATAAGTTTCATAACATTTGGTTGAGGCAAACTAAAGTTGGAGAACGGAAACGAAAAATTCAGGAATTTTTCCATTTGTAAAGGGGCATAGCTCTAGAACGGGTATAGTGACGCCACCAAAATTCAAACTTGATCTGTGTTTTGTGGTTATAAGCATTGTGTATAAGTTTCATAACATTTGGTTGAGGCAAACTAAAGTAAGAGAACGGAAACGAAAAATTCGGCAACTTTTCCATTTGTAATGGGGCATAGCTCTAGAACGGGTATAGTGACGCCACCAAAATTCGAACTAGATCTGTGTTTTGTGGTTATAAGCATTGTGTATAAGTTTCATAACATTTGGTTGAGGCAAACTAAAGTTAGAGAACGGAAACGAAAAATTCGGCAACTTTTCCATTTGTAAAGGGGCATAACTCTAGAATGGTTAAAGTGCCGCCACCAAAATTCAAACTTGATCTGTGTTTTGTGGTAATAAGCATTGTGTATAAGTTTCATAACATTTGGTTGTGGCAAACTAAAGTAAGAGAACGGAAACCAACTTTGGGACGTACGTACGGACGGACGTACGGACGTACAGACGGACAAGGGTAAAACTTAATGCCCCCTCCGCTACGGCGGGGGCATAAAAAACAAAGGATTAACTATATTTGAATTGTATGTTCATCTTGGCTTACCAGCTCTTTAACCTTTATGTAACTTTTGGTTTTTCAAATAGTTCCAGCTAGGGCATCACTGAAGAGACATTTATTGTTGAAATGGTGCAATGCAATTGGTACTGTTAATGTTATTCTAAATACTGCTTTAATGTATGTGGTTGGCTTTAATTCAGTAATGTTGGAATTTGGCATTCTTGTCCAAATGTCTGTCTTGTAATTCCAGACATTACGTGGACAGACGTCTGGAATTGTCATGCCTGCTCAAACTGATATGCAAACAATGAATAAAGTGCATCAAAATTGCATGTTTATCGCCAGAATAGTTACGTAAATTAACATATAATTTAAGCAATTCTATGAATGCGCCAAAATATAATTGTAGACAAAACATAATGTGACATTTGTACAACTGTCATTTAATGAGACATTGAATGATTAAGAACTAGAATCTGATATAGCATTTCAAATATTATTCTATTTCACAAGAGGCGTTAAACTGTGTACAGTTATCGGTTGAATGTAAAATCTGTATATCCAAAAGACTCCCATTTGTCCTTATAATTCTTTTATATACAATAACGATTCATAACTTTTATTTTCAGGGCTAAAATAATAATTATAATAACTGGGAAAATTAAGTTAATTTTATATACGTATATTTTTTTTTATTTTGACTAATTATTTCGATTGAATAGACAGGAAGTAAGATACCCATGTAACAATGTATGTTGCATCATTGATCTAGGGTTTAGAGAAGGAGTTTAATGATGAAATGCAACATGCTTGGTTTCCCAATTCGTTAAAGCCCGATCTCGTATATATATCTTATATTTGTAACGTCTGGTTGGCAAATGGATATATATTAATCAGTGGCTAAAATTTTCATTTGAGGATTACTGGTGGAATAAAACGTGATTAATGAAGGGAATCTTCTTAAGAGAACTTTTACACTATATTGATATATCTATTCAATCTTAATAGATTTCCTCGCAGACAGATTGTTTGTATCCTTATATATCTTTTCCCTACGTAACTATACTTATAAATAAGAAGATGCATGTGGTATGAGTGCCAATGAGACAACTCTCCATCTAAGACACAATGTATAAAAAAGTAAACAATTATAGGTCAAAGTACGGCCTTCAACACGGAGCCTTGACTCATACCGAACAGCAAGCTATAAATGGCCCCGAAATGATTAGTGTAAAACAACTCAAACAGGGAAACCAACGGTCTAATCTATAAGAGAAACGAGAAACACAACAAACGACAACCACTGAATGACAGGCTCCTGACTTAGGTCAGGTGCATACAAGTGCATCGGGATTAAACGTTTTAACAGGCGCCAACCTTCACCCTAACCTGAAACAGAAGTGTAACATTACAACATAAAAAGACACACTATTTGTATGGTTATAATTTGTTATCTTCCCTCTTGAATAGTCTGCAGCAAAATATCCGCTATTCTAATATAAAAATGAGAAGATGTGCATGGTATGATTGCCAATGAGACAACTATCCACCAGAGTTCAAATGACGAGGATGTAAGCAATTATATAGGTCACCGTACGGCCTTCAACAATGAGTAAATCCCATACCGTATAGTTCGCTATAAAAGGCCCCGACATGAAAAAATGTGAAACAATTCAAACGAGAAAACCAACTGCCTAATTTATAACAAATCAATTTACGAAAAACAGAAATGAAAGAGGAAACGGGAACTACATGCAAGTGTTTATCTAAAATAAAGTAGCTGTTCGACCAATATGTTCTTAATTTCAAGGCAAATGACATGTCAAAAGTTGGCAGTAGATGATTAAAATGGTGTATGTCATAAAAATACATAATTAAGGTTCATGATATGTCTTCAACTTAGAATTCTGCACCACCCCAAAATCTGGAGTGATCACATAAATCCAGCATGGCTGAATAAAAAATGTGGCGGGGTTAAACATGTGTGTGAGCGCTCAACTCTCCCCTGTCTTCTCGTGGCAATATGACCTACCTTGATATTGATGCTATGTTTGGGTTTTTTTTATCGATTGGTCAAAAGATATATCGAGGTCATAAACATAAATAAATATGAGATGAAAAGTGTGTGGGATTGGACACAAAAGGGGGAAATATACGGAGCGTTGGGAAAGGTTGGATAACTAAGCCCAGCATGGATCGGCCCTAGTGATTCAACAATTGACGGAGGACGGCTAAAAAGTCTTAGCGGTGAATTGAGGGACTTTAATACGTAGATTTAGATTGGATATAAAGCATAGTTTTCTACAGACAAAACGAACGTTGTAGAATTGGAATTATGTCAAGAAAACTACTATCAAATCTATACAAAACCGCTTAAAAACTTGTAAGAGACAAGATTTATCAAATAGAGATTCTAATGATTGACTGATACACCAATTTTGAATCCATTAATGATTTTATCATAATTCTATATACTTTTAGAATGCACTATACATAAATTTTATATACTTTTAGAATGCACTATACATAAATTTTATATACTTTTAGAATGCACTATACATAAATTTTATATACTTTTAGAATGCACTATACATAAATTTTATATACTTTTAGAATGCACTATACATAGCAATTTTAAAATAAATTTTCCTCGATAAGCATTTTAAATATAAAGATTTAAATCTATCCATTTTTAAATGACTCTATCCCCCATGCCTACTTGTAGCAGTATACACATTTCGTTGCTTTGACGTTTCATTTACATAGCCGTATGTTTGTGGAAGAGTCGGTGTATTTGGAAACACACGCAACATACTTCACATCTACTTTTATTCGCATAACATACTGAATAGTAATTAATAAAACAAAACTTATTATGTAACCCTTTCTGGATCATGTCCAAACATAAAAAAAACAATATAATTTTACTTCATTATATTATAAAAATGAGTTTCGTAAGTATCACGAATAGTGGGCGTAGTTCAGCGTAATATGCAATTTGCGACTAATTGTTTCACGCAAAAAAGATAAATTGCAAAGAATTCCTTATTTTTATTTATGAGTTGGCATAATATGCAGTAGATGTGGTGAATGATCTAAAAGCGATGAAAATTCCCTGGAACAGACCAGTGGTGAAGGTCAAATGCGTCAGAAGAACGAAGAAAATGTACTGAAAACATAAACTTATATTCATAATAGTTTTTCGTGTTGTTTGGTTGCTGTCTCATTGTCGTATCCCAAATCTCTTTTTATTCATAACCAAAGACGTTTCAGGCAAAACTAAAGGAAAACGTTTATTGATTTTAGTTCCAAAATAGTGAATTTTCCATCACATCCTATATGATTTGTTTTCTTGTCATGAGACTACACTGACTGTTTAGTGACTTCCTGACAGATCACATTCATTGTCATATAACTTGACTTGTCGACCTGGATTATTTTCAGGCTTTAAACTGGTACCATTACTACAACAGTTTCGAATTGCTCGATCGTTATAGGATGAGTGTACCAGACTTTTCTCAAAGTGCTTTAATTTTTGCGTCTTATTGTCGCATTATACACACTAGCTGTAGGCTTTGGCCAACTGGACAGTTGTTGTCGCATTCTTAGCAGATCCGTTACTTCGTAAACGCGATAAATATATTATAATATAAATAATGTATGTACCTACCACCGTCATGAATGCTTGAAATAAGGTCTGACAGAACGCATATTTTAATAATTCTAATGGAGCTACAAAATAATGCTTTAAAGTTTTTAAAGGGACCAATCATCTGTCTTAAAACACGCACTGCCTAGAACATGTTAGAAAGCAACAACTTTCACAATTTATACAATTTATACAAAATGTAAATTGTTATGGTCTTCAAAAGATGCATCTTGTCAATAACAGCTGTTCCAGCACCA